TGGGGCTGGCACAGCTCCCGGGCGGGGGTGTGTCCCCTTTTGTCCCCTCCTGTGCTGGAGGAAGGGTCGGGGTCGGGGGTCTGGGCTCCTGCCCTGCCGGTGGCTGCGAAGGGCAGGGCTGTGCCTGGATGTTTTGCTCCTGCTGCCCTGCTCGCCATGTCCGGGAGGGGGGAGGGATCCTGCCCCCCAGGAGGGCTCTGCAGGATGCAGGGAAAACACTCCTTTGTTCTGCAGGAGTGGGACACTGGCGGGAGCTACCTGTCCCATCGTGTCCCCGTGGGGGGAGCGAGGTGGCACGGTGACATGGGGTACAGGGACCCGGTGACACCTGTGCTGGGGGGCAATGGACCTCGCAGGCATTAGGGCCGTCTGGGCGCAGGGGTCCGGGCGGGCAGCGTGCCCAGCCCTGGGCTGTCACAGCCGCTTGCACAAGCCATTCTTGCAAGGAGCAAGGGGCTCCCCCCCCCCCCCGTCCTCGCTGCCCGTAGCCCTCGCGGGACGGGGGCTTGGGGGAGCTGGGAGCAGGACGCAGCTGGTGGGAGCACAGCGGAAACCGCCGGGCTGAGGTTAAAATAAAACCCAAAAGCCGGGAGGTAGCTCGCCCCCTGCGGGGAGGGGGGACGGGGTGCTGAGGACAAATGGCTGAGGTGACAAATCAGGTGTCAACCCCACTGCCTGGGGAACTGGAGCATCTGCGGGGCCGTGAGCCAGCATGGGGGTTGTCCAAGCCCACAGCTGGGGGCTTTGCAGCCCAAAATGCTCCAAGCCAGGGTGGGTGAAGAGGGAAACTGAGGCACAGCGGTCTGGGATGGTTTGCTCTGCCCACTCCCTTGCAGGGCCCTTTGCAGGGATCTCTCTGGGTCTCTGCAGCGGGTGACTTCCCCCCTCGGGCTGGGGGGACAAGGGGGAGCTGGGATCCGGAGGGGGAGAGGCACCACATTGAAGCTGTAAAAATCCCAAAGGAGATTTAATCAGGGCAAGGCGAACACCCGTCCTTGGCAGCGGGGTCAGGGCGCTGGGTCCCTGCGGGATGGGGGCATTCCCAAGTGATCCCTCCTCCGCCGTGAGTTACGGGACCTTGGGATGGAGACGGAAAGCAGCCTGGGAGAGTTGTTTGCTATGCAGGTTATCTCCTTTTGCTCGGCTGTAAGGCCGGATTCGGGCTCATGGGACCAGGTTTGGGGACCACCGATGCTGTAATGGGTATATCACAGCTGGGGACGTGTCCCTGTGTCACGGGCGCGCCGGAGCCGTGGTTTTTTTACGGCTCCGGCGCGCCCGTGACACAGGGACACATCCCCATCCCTGCGGGTCGGTGCTGCCGTTGGTGTCTGCACCGATCCTACTCTCTCCAAGGCTTGTCTGTGCTGGTTAAAATCAGCAGGGCACATTCAGCTGTCAGCTTAAAAATAATCCGGCGAGCCGGCGGCCGACACAATGGAGGGCGCAGATGGGGACAGGCGCCGCGCCGGGATGCTCGTGGCCCCGGGGCAAAGGGATGGGGGTCCCCGTGGGAGCGTAGGGTGCCCGTTGCCATCTGGTTTTGGGTCACCAGTCGGGGCATGCATGGTGCAGGGAGGGCTTGGGGGCTCGTGGGGAGCTTTGCCTCCTGTACGGTGCTGGTAGTGGGGTTTTCTGGCTCTCCTGTGCTGGTGTTTGGAGCATTGCAGCTCTCTTTATGTTTTGGGGTGTCTGCGGTGTCCGCGAGCACCCGAAGCCCTTGTACCCCTCCGGGCTTGCTCCGGCGGTGATGGAGTGGGTCTGCGGGTGCTGTGCCAGGGTGATGCCTTGTGGGCTGCAGTGCCAGAGCCATGCCCTCACCACGGAGACCCTATCCCCAGGGGGATGGGACCCCCAGCCCCACCTGCAGCCGGGCCCCGTGCGGGACGTGCTGGCACAGGGGGTGCAGCCCGGCCCCGCTGAGCCGCTGTCAGATTTCCCCACCAGCAGCGAAAAGGCCCACTCAGCACAGGCGCGGACAAAGGCTTTTTGTGCCTCGTCCCTTTGTGTGTCCCTCTCCCTCCCCGCTCCCCATCCATCGGTTCAACCGAGACGGCGCCTGAATTTTAACACCCTCGCCCCGGGATGGGCTGACTCTGGCTGCTGCAGCGGGGAAGGAGGTGGCACTCAGGCAGGACCCCGGTGGATCCCCTCCTGCCTGGCTGCCGCTTGCCCTACCCTCTCCCAGGTTGCTGATTTCTCTGGTTTTAGCAGAGCTTGGTGCTGCCGGGGCAGGGCCCTCTGCTCCCTTCAGCCACGGGGCTGCTCCTGCCTCAGCAGGGCTGGTGGATGCACAGCCAGATGTGCAGCCACAGAGAGCAGCAACATCCCTCGCCGGGGCTGTGCTAAACCCTCCCAAACTCAGCCAAGGTGTCGGGACTTCTGCTGTCTCTCCAAGTCTGAGTGCCAGGCAAGATGCCCACAACTGCTCCAGCTCTGCCGTGGTCCCATTCCCCCTCCCGACACCGGCACCAGGGGCTGCGGGATGGAGCCGTGTCCCTTTTGGCCCCATCTGCTGCTCCAGGCAGCATCCCTTGCCAGAGCCCGACGCGGTGCCAGGTCCCTGCCCCATCTCGGGAAGCATCACTCATCCAGCCGCCTCCTGGGCGGCTCTTTCCGGCTTGCCCGAGGTTATTACCGTGGCGTCATCGGAAGGGGACCTTTTGTCCCCGACTCCCCCATCCACCCCCATCTCTCCTCCTGCTGCCTCCTGGGTCCCATCCAGACCCCCAGGCACAGCTCATTTC